CCTGTCTATTTTGTACCTACCAATTATGCTTCTTATTCCCTGTACCTTTCCCCCCATTCTCCCCACTTCCCCTCCCCACTGATAACCCTCCATGTGATCTCCATTTCTGTGATTCTGTTCCTGTTCTAGTTGTTTGTTGTTTGTTTTTGTTTTTGTTTTTGTTTTTTTAGGTTCAGTTGTCAATAGTTGTGAGTTTGTTGTCATTTTACTGTTCACAGTTTTGATCTTCTTTTTCTTAGGTAAGTCCCGTTAACATTTCATATAATAAGGGCTTGATGATGATGAACTCCTTTAACTTTACCTCGTCTGGGAAGCACTTGACCTGCTCTTCCATTCTAAATGATAGCTTTGTTGGCTAGAGTAATCTAAGTCCTTGTCTTTCATGACTTTGAATGCTTCTTTTCAGACCCTTCTTGCCTATAATGTTTCTTTTGAGAAGGCAGCTGATAGCCTTATGGGAACTCCTTTGCAGGCAACACTCTCCATTTCTCTTGCTGCTTTTAAGATTCTCTCCTTATCTTTACTCTTGGGTAATTTAATTATGATGTATCTTGGTGTGTTCCTCCTTGGGCCCAACTTCTTTGGGACTCTCTGGGCTTCCTGGACTTCCTAGAAGTCTATTTCCTTCACCAGGTTGGGGAAATTCTCCTTCATTATTTTTTCAAATAAGTTTTCAATTTTTTGCTCTTTCTCTTCTCCTTCTTTCACCTGCCATGATTCGGATGTTGGAACATTTAAAGTTGTCCCAGAGGTTCTTAATCCTCTCCTCATTTTTTTGAATTCTTGTTTCTTCATTCTCTTCTGGTTGAATGTTTATTTCTTCCTTTTGTTTCAAATCGTTGATTTGAGTCCCAGTTTCCTTCCCTTCACTGTTGGTTCCCTGCATATTTTGCTTCATTTCACTTTGTATAGCTGTCACTTCTTCCTTTATTTTGCAACTGTACTCAATTATTTCTGTGAGCATCCTGATTATCAGAGTTTTGAACTCTGCATCTGATAGGCTGGCTATCTCTGTGTAGCTTAGTTCCTTTTCTGGAGTTTTGATCTGTTCTTTCATTTGGGCCATATTTCTTTGTCTCAGTGCACAAGTCTGGATGAGTGTTTCTTTTTTAACTCCTTGGTTGTCAGACTTTCATACAGTTTGATTTTCTGGAAGATCTGGGTTTTCTTTTTCTTAAAGATTTTATTTATTTATTTATTTTTAGAGGGAGGGGAAAGAAGGGAGAAAGAGTCAGAGAGACACACATGCCCCCAACTGGGGGCCCAGCCTACAACCCAGGCATGTGTCCTGACTGGGGATCAAACTGGCAATATTTTGGTTTGCAGGCTGGCACTCAATCCACTGAGCCACACCAGCCAATGGCTGTTTTTTGTTTTTAAATTAGTTGTCCTTTTGGTTGTGCGAGGAAGCAAAGTGCATCTACCTACGCCTCCATCTTGGCTGGAAGTCAAGGCTTATCCTCTTTCAAAAGAGGAAGCCAAATCTCCAGGAGGCAAAGTGAGCTGCCCAAGATCACAGTGGTGGTAAGGATGAAGCAGAGTTCGAACCAGGGTGCACCTGCAGGACCTCACTGCTCCTACAGCAGCCTGGGCCTCCGCACACCAGGGCCCCTATGAAGGGGGCCATATGGGAGGCTGGTGAGATGTGACCAAGAAGAGCACAGTGGTGGGCTTTACATGAAATACATGGTGGTGGTGGGGAGGGGTCATCCTCATCCTTCCAGGGGTTCCCCCGCCAGGAGAGTCTCCTTCATGACTGCTGTGCCAGCCGACTGTAGGCAACAAGACGAACAGCACACCACTGCCTATAGTCTAGTGCCCTTTGCCTCCTCAGAGCAGGACACACAAACTGTTCCTGGAGAGTACCTGGCCCAAATGGGAGTGCCCTGTCTTTCCAGACTCCTCTATCCAGCTCCAGGAGCAAGATGAGGGAGAGAATATTGGGGCTGAGGGGCTTACCCTGTAATCCCAGGCACACACCAACCAATCAGAGAATTGTGGCTAGGAACCTTGGAAGCTCTGGAGTCAGCATGCCTGGGTTTGAATCCAGCTCTGTCACTGGGAAGCTGTTTCAAATGGGTAACTTACTTTATTCTCAGGATTATAGTGATAGAATTGGTGTCACAAGTTGTGAAGTTTCCAGGAATTACTACAGTCATTTGCAACTTAACAGCCAGGGATACACTCTGAGAAAGGCATTGTTCGACCATTGTGGGAACATCATAGAGCGCACTTACACACGCCTACGTGGCATAGCCTTCTGCACACCACGGCTGCGTGGTGGAACCTACTGCTCCTGGGCTACAAGCCTGTAGAGCAAGTTATGGTATAAAACACGATTAAATCAGGCACAAGAAAAAATGATGCCATCAGGAGACATATGTATAAAGCTGCTGCCAGCCTAACACAGCGTACTGTTTTATAGCAAACTTGTTTTTATAAGAAGAAAGAGTACAACCTAAAATCATGATAAAAGTATAGTATAGTAAATACATAGACTTACAATATAGTCTTTTATTATCATTATTAAATGTTATGCACTGGACATAATTGTAGGCACTATACTTTTATATAACTGGCAGGCTTTGTTTATACCAGCATCACCACAAACATATTAGTAATGCATTGCACTATGACATTTTCATGGCAACCAGAATTTTTCAGCTCCATTATAATGTTAAGGGACCACCATCATACATGCAGTCTACCCTTGACTTAAACATTGTTTGGCGTCGCATGACTGTACATGTAAAGCCTTGGAACAGTGCCTGCTACATAGTGTAACTATGTCAGAAGACATCATTCTCATTTACTACTCTGTACCTAGGGGACACAGACCAAGGAGTGCAGAGTCAATACCTGTAGTTAAACAGGTGTTGGAGCACCAACAGTGAAAGACCATTCATATACTGAGACCACCTCTCGGCCTTACCCCGGGGCACAATAAGAGCGATAGAGACTGATAAATTGGAAAGCCAGTGCCCTCTGCAGAAGCTACAGCCCCACCAGTTGCCATGTGAAAGTGTGGGTCATGTTGCCACATCTTCAGATTTTCCAAACAATCTGGAAATGTGGCTTTTTACATGAAATGCACTGATTTTTAAATGTGGCGATTAATTCTGTTTAAAACAAAATAAAACTCTGTAGGCCAAATCAAACTCTTCTGTGAGCCTCCAAGGCACAGATTTCCTAAAGTCACCCTGTGCCATGGCCAGGTCAGGCTTTTACAGCCCTTGAAAGGCCAGGGAGACTAGTGAGGGCTGGACTGCCTCCAAGTCTCCCTGACCCCAAGTTGTCCTGCTGCTCACCTGTCTCTCAGGGTGAGGGGCGAGAGAGTGGGGATGTTGGTGAAGGAATGGGATTGTGCAGCAGAACCCATAGGTGGAGACTCTGTGCAAGTTTGCCTGGGGATTGCTCTGGTGACAGATGGGACAACACGTGAAGACAATGCATGACTTCATTCCATGCATTGAGCACCTACAAACTACATGCCAGTCACTCCAGTCCCTGTCTTAGGTGCTGTTCTAGGAGACAGCAGCGAGTACAGGAGGCCAAGGCCCTGCCCTGGCAGAGACAACATTAATGTGAGTGCGCTGGGGGGATGGGCAGAGACAAGTGATAAACACCTGGATATTCTGTCAGGGGTGACGAATGCTGTGAGAAACAGAGGAGGGTAAGGGGGACCAGGCGGGGCAAAGGCCCTGAATTGAGAGTGAGGTGTCAAAGGTGATGGAAGCCAGGATAAGAGGGAGAAATGCCCAGATGAGGAGGAGGGTAAGGGGGACAGCACTGGGACATGAGCAGAGCCTGACCCAGCCGGGCCGCCTTCTGCTGGTGGCCACACTCTCTGAATCCCAGATGTAGGCCCAGAGGAGCGGCATCCTCTTTAGCGATGCCTGACATGCATTTGTACCACTGGGTCCCTCACATCTCTGGACAGGTAGCCCTGGTCACGCTCTCCCATAAATCCCTTATGTCTATAATACACACAATTAAAATTCTTGAGGGTAGAAAGCCTGATTCTTGTTCAACTATGAGATCTTCCCATCTCTATGTTCCTCACAGTTCCCAGGAATAATAGGATTCAATATACAGATGTGTTAAATTGAAATAATGACATGGCCTTAAAGCACCTTACCTCATTTCTTACATGCTGGTTTCCTCTACTATAAAATGGGGATAATATGCTATCCTATTTCCATGGATTGTGGCGAGAAAATGAGAGAAAGGATATAAAAATCGGGACCCCAGATACCCTGGGCCTTGGGAGGCCACCAGTGTCCCCAGGTTTTTAAAGGTTTCTTTTGCTATGAGCTGAGTGCCCCCTGAGCTACTGGGAAAGCCTCTCGCACTCCTTGGTCAGGGAACTCCCACTGACTTCCCTCTTGCGGCAAGTTTTCTCCTCTGAGGGTAGCAAATGGGCCTCAGTTTCCTCCTCTGAGGGTGGCAAATGGCAGAAGAGGGGCCAGCACACACTTCCCAGTGAGGCTGGGGCCAAGAGCATGGGCTGCCACAGATTCCTCCTGAATGCGCCTGTCCCCTCAGCCCAAACTCCTGTTGCTATGACTTACTATTTCATTTAAGTCATTTTTAGTTTGTAGGATGTTCCCTCTCAAATCCGCCCTGCCAGCCCCTGCTCCCACCCCACAACCCAGGCATGGAAGGGGTGCATCTCTGGGTCTCAGTTCCAACAAAGGCAGGCTCCAGGGGACCTGCGGCCACCAATCTGCTTCCCGGGAGCGGCTGGCAGAGCCCCTGCAAGATGCAGAGTGGCCAGAAGTCCAGAGACCCTCACTGGCACTGGGTTTCCCGGAGAATCTGCTCCCACTGGAGACGGAAAACGGGTCATCGTCTCAACCACCTCCCTGCTCCCCGTCCTCTTATTTTTCCCAGGCTGTGGGAGGCAAAGGGTTAAATCCCATAGAGCTGATGCTCTGACTCCAGGCTAGAGGGACCCGGGAAGCTGGGGTCACTTCCTGCTCCGTCCCAGTCACCCTGAACTGGTCCCCGAGTCCTCAGCCTGGGATCACCCCTTGAGAAGGAACCCAGAGTCCTCGGCATCAAGCCCGCCACCCCCTCCCCCCAGGCAGGGCATTCAAGGGGTTAAGTCCCCTGGGGCTGGATTCTGCCTTCCACCTTTCCCAGACCCCAGAGTCGTGAGTTGGGGACGCCTGGGTTCCTGAGGGGTGGCCCGAAAGGCCGGGACGGCCGCCCGGGAACAATGGGTCAGGGAGGCGGGTCGCTCCGGGCCTGAGCCCCCTGCCCGGCCACTGGTCGCAGGGGTAGGGCTGGGGCCGGGCAGGGGGGCAGAGACCGAGGATTCTGGGAAAAGCGCGAGGGTCTGGCTGTGGGGGAAGGGAGGCGTGAGCATTCTGGGAAGAGGGAATTCGACCGCCAGGCCAGGGCTTGGGGGCTGCGAGCCAGCGGGGAATCCTGGGGGCCCGGGAGGCGGAGGATGCCCGGACCTGGGAGTTGGGAACCGAAAGACGTTGGCGGGGAACAGATGGAGCAGGAGTCCAGGGTCTGTGCTGGTGCGGCCGAGGGGGGCCGGGGGCCAGGATGGCTGCGCGCCCTCCCCTGCCTCCACTTCAGGGTCACCCTGGGTCGCTCTCCGCACCTCTCTGCGAGGCAGCCTCCTTCCCTCCCCCCTCCGCAGTGGGACTGGCTCGAAGTCCGAGGTCTGGGGCTGGGGCCTAGGGCTGCTCCGAGCACTTCTTGCCTCCTTGGGTCTTCCCACTTTCGTACTCCATGGCGGCCTGTCATTAACCTCTTCCTTCTACTCTGGACCGCTGAGTTTGAGTTTCTCGAAATAACCAAGGTACATAGGTCTCACCTGTCCTCAGCAAACAGCAGGGCAACCTTCTAGGCCTCCTCAGAACCATCAGCCCCAGCTTGGCAGAGGTGCCTGCTTCCACCTCCCCAAAGACACTTACAGATGGGGGAGGGGAAATTCTCATCGCCTAAGGAGCTACAGAGATGAAGAAATTAAGTTACTTCCTAAAAATCTCACTCCTGTCTCCCCTGCTGCTATTAAGCAGGCAGGGTTCAGCCAGCTCCTGCTTCCCTTGGGTTACCTCCCAGCTGCCTCCTCCTGAGTCCTGGCCATGTCTGCTTGTTCCGCCGCCCCCATACACACAGCACCCATCCCACACAGCCACCCCAAACCCAGGCTTTCCCAGGGACTCTCTTAAGGGTCTCCATGTTGTGGGAAGTTCTCCTGGCACTTAGCTCCTGTGGTCCTGTTCCCTCATACATCAGCCTTTCTGGAGTGAGCGGGCTGTTTTACCAAGAGGCCACTCTGAACTGTTTCTTTGCTGCCATCTCCTTGAAAACTGACCTTTAAAGGCATCAGACAAACAGGTTTTCCAGGAACAAGGGGTATCTCATTCATTTTTTTGTTCATCTACCAAAATGTATTGAGCACCTGTTCCGTGTTAGGCATCATCCTGGGCACAGCACATAGCAGCAACAAGACAGAGCAGACAGTACAGAAGAAGGGGTACCAGGATGGGACTGATAGGGAAGGCCTCACGGGGGAGGGCTGTTTGGAGTTTATAGGCGCAGATGGTAAGGCTAGTCATTAGATCCAACCCCTGCTGTTACAGCCAAGGACCTTCAGGTCCCAGGAATTTCCCCATCCCATTCTCATGGCCATAGGCTCCCTCAGAGCTTCCCTCATCACCCATCCCTGCCAGCAGCCCACACTTAGGAGTTTCACAGGACTCCCAAGGTCATCTTCCTCTCTGAGTCTGGGGCAAGCGACATTGCATTTCTGGTTTATGCCACTTCCTGGCCTGCGACCTTGGCGAACTCTCGCTGAGGGTTGATTTTCAAATCTGTAAAATGGACAGTCTGATTCCTGGGTCTCCTAATGGAGTTGTGGGGACGGTGAGGTAACGAGGACACCACAGCAGGCCCTGTGTCGGCCGCGGACGGTCTTCACGCACCTCTTTCACCTCTCTCATCCTTTCCATTTCCCCCCAAGGTCATTCTGGCACAAGCCCCTAGCGGTAGCGGCTTTAAAAATGCCCCCTCCCCCCACCTCTGGCCCAATCTTCTTTGTGTGCTTAGATAAGAGGAATGTGTCCCGGTCCTTTTGGAGGGACCCTGTTGCCTCAGGAAAATCAGAGAGGTTTTTTTCCCTTTCTTTCTCTTTTTCTCTTTCTCTCTTTCTTTTAACTCTTCAAGTGTTCTAGGCAGCCTCAGTTCTCTGGGAGGCTCTCAAGGAAAGTTTATTGGTTCCAATTAGCAGCCTCATTAAGGAGGAAAATTAGAGACTTAATGAGCTTCTTCTGATTAGTAAAATAACAGGTTTCCCAGCCTCTGGGCATCAGAGGAGTGGGGTGAGAGCCTCCTTCCCCTCTGGGTGTCAGATACCTCTCCAGCCCCCACTCTGGGTTTAAAGGGTTATGACTGATGAGCTTTTAATTACACTCTTAAATTCACCTACTTGCTTAGTTGTGATTTTAAGATCTGGAATCAGGCCTGCGGGGGTGGGGTGGGTAGAGACGATTAGAACTAATGCCCAAAAACCTGGGTTGGTAGGAAACTGAAGTTTACAATAGGGGGAATGAGAGCCGTCCTGGGGCAGGTAGCGGGGCGTGGGGGGGGGGGGGGTCGGTGGCGCAGGTAGGGAGAAAGAAAAAGTGGGAGATCAGCTCCCATCGTGTGCTCCTCTCTCTCCTCCCCCAGGGTCCCTGGAACACTGGGCAGTCCTGAGCTGTGGGATGGAGCCTGAAGCAGTGCTGTGGGGCCCAGACCTGCGGGGTCCTGAACAGAGCCCCAGCGATGCTCATAGAGGTGAGGGGCACAGGAAGGGACTGCAGTTCTGACAAGACAGTGGTGCTCATTCAGGGAGGAGCCCAGACTCTGGGGGAAACCCAGGGGAGGGAAGAGAAGACTGATCGCATGTTCTGCAAGGAGATGGGGGCTGGAGACTCCCTTTCTCTCTGTAGGTGCCGAGAGTGGGAATGAAGAGGAGAGCCCTCAGCAGGAAAGTTCTGGGGAGGAGATCATCTTGGGAGATCCAGCTCAGAGTCCAGAATTCAAGGATCCACCAGAGATGCCCCTGGAGAGACCCTCCCAGGATCCCTCCATCCCCCAGGACCCCCCAGCTCCACTGGGTCACCCCAGCCCTTTGGACCACCAGACTCCTCTTGATCCCGCAGCCCCCGAGGTAGTCCCTACCCCATCTGACTGGACCAAGGCATGTGAGGCTAGTTGGCAGTGGGGGACTCTGACCACATGGAACAGCCCCCAGGTGGTCCCTGCCAATGAGTCCAGCCTGAGGGAGCTGGTGCAAGGCCGCCCCTCCGGGGCTGAGAAGCCGTACATCTGCAACGAGTGTGGCAAGAGCTTCAGCCAGTGGTCCAAGCTGCTGCGGCACCAGCGCATTCACACGGGCGAGCGGCCCAATACCTGCTCTGAGTGTGGCAAGAGCTTCACGCAGAGCTCGCACCTGGTGCAGCACCAGCGCACGCACACTGGCGAGAAGCCCTACAAGTGCCCGGACTGCGGCAAATGCTTCAGCTGGAGCTCCAACCTGGTGCAGCACCAGCGCACGCACACGGGCGAGAAGCCCTACAAGTGTACCGAGTGCGAGAAGGCCTTCACACAGAGCACCAACCTCATCAAGCACCAGCGCTCACACACCGGGGAGAAGCCGTACAAGTGCGGCGAGTGCCGGCGCGCCTTCTACCGCAGCTCTGACCTCATCCAGCACCAGGCCACGCACACTGGTGAGAAGCCCTACAAGTGCCCCGAGTGCGGCAAACGCTTTGGCCAGAACCATAACCTCCTCAAGCACCAGAAGATCCACGCTGGGGAGAAGCCATACCGCTGCACTGAGTGTGGCAAGAGCTTCATCCAGAGCTCGGAGCTGACCCAACACCAGCGCACGCACACGGGCGAGAAGCCCTACGAGTGCCTCGAGTGCGGCAAGAGCTTCGGCCACAGTTCCACCCTCATCAAGCACCAGCGAACCCACCTGCGCGAGGACCCCTTCAAGTGCCCCGTTTGTGGCAAGACCTTCACGCTGAGCGCCACACTGCTTCGTCACCAGCGCACACACACGGGCGAGCGGCCCTACAAGTGCCCCGAGTGCGGTAAGAGTTTCAGTGTCAGCTCCAACCTCATCAACCACCAGCGCATCCACCGCGGTGAGCGGCCGTACATCTGCGCCGACTGTGGCAAGAGCTTCATCATGAGCTCCACGCTCATCCGCCACCAGCGCATCCACACGGGCGAGAAGCCCTACAAGTGCTCCGACTGCGGTAAGAGTTTCATCCGCAGCTCCCACCTCATCCAGCACCGTCGCACCCACACGGGTGAGAAGCCCTACAAGTGCCCCGAGTGCGGCAAGAGCTTCAGCCAGAGCTCCAACCTCATCACCCACGTGCGCACCCACATGGATGAGAACCTCTTTGTGTGCTCCGACTGCGGGAAGGCCTTCCTGGAGGCTCACGAGCTGGAGCAGCATCGGGTGATCCACGAAAGAGGGAAGACCCCAGCCCGGAGAGCTCAGGGCGACACTATGCTGGGGCTTGGGGATCCAGCCCTGCTAACCCCGCCCCCCGGAGCCAAACCACACAAGTGTCTTGTCTGCGGAAAGGGGTTCAACGACGAGGGCATTTTCATGCAGCATCAGAGGATCCACATTGGAGAAAACCCCTACAAAAATTCAGATGGCCTCATCGCACACCCAGCCCCCAAGCCTCCGTTCCGACCTCCCAGGCTCCCTTTTGGAGGGAATTCCTATCCAGGTGCTTCGGAGGGCAGAGCTGACCCCCCAGGACAACCCTTTAAAATGCCTGAGGGGCAGGAGAGCTTCAGCCAAAGGCTGGGCCTGCTCTCCTCCAAGTCCTACATTTGTTCCCACTGTGGAGAAAGCTTTCTGGATCGAGCTGTGCTCCTCCAACACCAGCTCACCCATGGCAACGAAAAGCCCTTTCTCTTTCCTGATTATAGGACTGGTTTAGCAGAAGGGGCAGGGCCCAGTCCCTTCCTAAGTGGAAAGCCCTTTAAATGCCCTGAATGCAAAAAAAGCTTTGGCCTCAGCTCTGAGCTGCTGCTGCACCAGAAAGTCCATGCAGGTGGGAAACCCCAGAAGAGTCCAGAGCTGGGGAAGAGCTCTTCTGTCCTCCTGGAGCACCTCAGGAGCCCCCTGGGAGCCAAACCCTACAGCTGCTCAGATTGTGGGGCTTCCTTCCTGGATCGCCTGGCCCTCGTCCGCCATCAGGAAACCCACACCCAAGAAAAGTCCCCCAGACCCGAAGACCCCCTTTCAGAGCCAGTCACCCTGTCCACAAGCCAGGAAGGTGAAGGAGAGGCCCCCACCCCCACAGGAAGCAGCATCCATGGGGAAGGGGAAACCCCCAAAACCCTCTTGGAAGAAAAGCCCTATTTGTGCCCTGAGTGTGGAGACGGCTTCACAGAAGTTGCGGCCCTCCTCCTCCATAGGAGCTGCCACCCGGGTGTCACCCTGTGAAATGCACCTGGAGACCAGGGGCCCCTCTCTCCTGAGAGGAACACTGGATCTCCCCAAATATTATGCGAGAAAAGGAAGAAAACACTACCAGATTGTAGAGATGCAAAGGATAAAGGACCCTGGGTAAAAGTAGTGCTTTTACATCAGTGATGAGAAACCCTATAAAATTGTTGGTGGGAACCACTTATAATGCAGTAGAGAAAAACTGTTGGGTTAGAAACCCTATAAATATGTAGGAAAAAAAAAAGCCCTTTCAGTCTGTAGCAGAAAAATCCCTATAAACCATAGTGGATAAAAGCCCTATTAATTGTAGGATGAGGTCCCAATATGTCTCTAGACAACCCTATAAAACTGTACTGAAATCCTTGTGAAACTATAGGGTTGGGGAAGTGCAGGGAAATAGCAATGGCATTGACTTGGGAGCAGTGACCCTCAGAAGGTGCAGAAGAACCTCCCATGAACTCGTTCCACAGTGTTCTTTCCTACTGGCATATGGGAGGGAGGTGCATTCCCAGAAGCCTTGGACAATTACACTGAGTAAAATGCTCAGTGGGGAGTAGTTTTGGGAATTGGGTGGAACTGAAAAGGAAAACAAGGACAGGAGAAAAATAAGTGATGAGGAGCCCTTGGACCCACAGAAGAGAAATAACCTGGGAACTAGGAAGAGGAAGTCCAGCTCATTGCAGTGGGGGTTCCTTGGGATATAAGGCCAATCCTAGATGAATTGTGTGCATGAGAGGAGGAGGCCCATGGAATTCCTTATCAGAAGCCAAAAATGGGGAAGGAATAAAATGATGTTGCACCTTCTTAAAGGCTGAAGTTTGGGGTGCATAAAAACCTTAAGAATACTGGGAAACCACCACAAAAATTTAGCGGGGAGAGTGGGGGGAGCTTCTGTTAGAGTGCTTCGAGGGAAGGAAACCAAGTGGAGAAACCGCTCAGATGGAACCCAGCAAAGTCCAGGCTGTCTTCCCCATTTCCGGGAGCTTGTTAAACTGCAAGTGCAAGCAGATCCCAGCCAGACTGCCAGGGTCCCCCCTGCAGCCAGGCAGAACAGCCCTTTCCTGGGGACTTCTGAGAGGCCTCCAGGGACGGAGGGCCCCTCCTGCTACATCTCAGGTCTCACCGTCAGGAGGTTTCTCCTGAAATCTAACTGCCACCAGTCTTGCTGCAGTGGCAGCCTGTTTCCTTGAACTCTGTCCTCAGTGGAGAGGGAGAACCGCTGCTAGTCAACCTCCAAAGAATAAAGCCCTTCAGAGACTCAAGGCCTGTGCGTAGTTAAATCCTCCAACTGCTCTTCACGAAGCCAATGAGTGCCACATGTAGGTTCTCTGTGGCAACAAGGGACGGCAAGTTGACAGAATAGAGAGCTTTGATTAGCCAGCAACCTACTTTTAAACTTCATTTTCTCCTCTGAGCTGATAGCAAGGCTGCTGGCAGGATGAGCCAGCCTGCACATAGAGATGGGTGTCCAAACACCCTACGGAAGGGACCCTGGGTCCTGGAAGAGTATATGGAAGCCTGACCACCTCCCTCACACCGGCACCTGGAGCCCGCTGAGGTTGTGACAACCCATCCCATTCATGGTCTCAGGAAGGTACGGATTCCATCCACTCGGCTCCTCTCCTCCTCAGCCAGAAACCTTCAGGGGGAAACGGAAAGATGAGAGAACCACACTACCCTGCCAGACCCATCTCCTGTCCTCGCACACCACACACAGTTCCACACTTGATTAACCCAGCCAAACCCACTAACACGACTGGGTGTGTGTGGCAGGGGAAAGAGACTGTTGCCCGCTAAAATGGTTGGAGGAACCTTTTGAAACATCTGTAACAAGAACCCCATCCCCTAACCCTGGAGATTCCTTCCAGTGCTGGATCCAAAGGAAGTGCCCACTGACCCCATGCTGGCACCAGTAATGCACTGTGGTCCTGGAGTAAGAGAACCAACATGCCAGGTGAGGTGGCCCCTTCAGGAGTCACATCCCCCGAGAGGGTGACCTGGATCCCTACGGAGCTATGGAAGAGACCTCTAATTTCATTACCTGAAGTTAAAAAGTCCTTCACCTTCTACCCTGACCCCCAAAGGGATAACACTCAAATTCAAAGGATCAAAATCCAGAACACTGTAGGAGGAAAAACCCAAGCCTGCTGGGAAGGAGGAAAAGGCAGGCATCATATGATTGTGGGGAGACCCTTTTTAACATCTGCATTACAGCCCCACCTGACCCAAGTGCCAGGTCGGAAAACACTACTGAGGGGAGAAGGAGCCTGCCTGCAAATCTACTGACAGAAGCTTCCATGAAGGGGGTGTCCCTATGAGACTGAGGAAGAGAAGACAGCCCTCCAAGTCAAAGCAGAACCCCCCTCTAAGATGGTAGCAGAAAGAAACTCCAATTGTAAACAAACCCCTTTTAAAGCTAGAAGCAGTTCCCCTCAGAACAGGTCTGAGCAATATCCCCAGAAGAGTCCTGGGGAGCAGACTTCGAGGCTCGGGGGCCAGTCCGGGAAGAGGTGGTCAGTGTGGTTAAAGGCCGACTGTGGGCCTATTGAGGACTTGGGTGTAGCATATGTAGTAGGATGTTCGCATGTTGTAGGAATGGGTTAGGGCCAGTTTAGGCTCCAGTACTTGAATGGATGACGTGGACACAATGAGTTGGGGTCTGGGGTTTTGTAGCTGGAAAGGGGCAAAGTGGGAGACCTTTGGGGTATGACCAGTTCTCTCTTGCCCACCTCCCCGAACTCCTTTAGCCAGGTGCTTCCCTCCCAGAACAAGGTACAGCTTGGGAGGATCTAAGTAGGCCGCTGGCTGAGGGAGGTGGCAGTGTCCAGAGTCCCTCTGACCAGCTCAGGCAAAGGCCCAGCTCAGTCTGGAAGGCCTCTTGTCCAACTCCACGGAGGCCTGACTCTTCAGAAGTGTCCCAGTTGAGGAGCCCAACAGATAGGGTCACAGAGTCAAAGGGAAGAGAAGAAACTGATCTGAGCGTAGGGTGAAACTTGAAACTGCTATAGATATGAAGGTCAGATGGGAACTGGAAAGAATTGGGCATGAATCCTGAATGATGGGGAAACTTGAAACCATCACAGTCAAGAGGTAGGGTTCCATGACACCTGCCCCTGAAGTGAGCAGCCCCCAGACTCCTTTGCCCCCCTTAAGGAAGCCCTGCTCACCTAATTTGTCCCCCTGGAGAGAAGAGAGGCCCCACTTTTGAGTGTTGTGTGTCAATAACAGTGTTGTGTCACCGGTGGTCATGTTGATTAGTTGAAGAGAATAAAGGGAATAAGATTTCCCAGGTGTTTTCTGTCTTCTCTTTCAATCCTAGAGCAAGCTGAAAGATCTTGCCTTCTCCCAGAGCCAGGGTCCAAATAAAACGTCAAAAGCTCAGCCAAGCTCCAGACCACCTTTGCACTCTTTTCCCAGAGGCCCTAAAATCTCCATCCTGTGTGTGCTGTGAAGGTTTATTGGGTTTTAAAATTCATACCCTTGGGAGAAAGGGGGAGAAATGTTCTGAGGTGGTGACAGAGCCAAGCAGCTCTTGCTGATGTCTGGCTTTGGCACCAGCAAAACCTGCTGACTGCTGGGTAAGCTGCCTGATGACTCTGGCTGGCCCAGGTCCAGCCGTGCGGCTCCAGGGAGGCCTCTCTGGCCACAACACCCACACCCTCCCCAGACTGCCACCTGAAAAAGCTCCGAAAATGGAGTTCCAGGAGCTGAAGTCCACCTTCTTTGGTTCGCCTGGAGCCCGGGTCCAGGTCCTGGCCCAGCCCCTTCTCCGGACCACAGCTTTCTAGATTCAGAAGAGAGGTGGGTGGAGGAGACCTGGTCTGTCGTCTCACCCTCCATCTGTAGTCCACAGCCCTCACCACGTGGAAAGACTGAGTCTCATGGAAGGGCAACCACGTGTCTAAGATCCATAGCAAGGCAGTGAGGGAAAGGGAAACCATAATGGTGAGGGGAAGGCTCTACACCCAACCAAGCCTCTCCCCCATCACTGGGCCTGCCCAGGTTCCACACTCAGCCAGGCAGGCCTCTCTGCCTCTGATGAATCCTCAGTGCCCAGCTTACATCTACACTATCTCCTGGGCCTAAGCCTGGCCACAGCCCCTGACCCTGAGGTCAACACTAACCCATTGCCTGCCTCTGCTCTGCTCTGCCAGGAGTCTCTTGCACCAGCCAGGAAGCTGTCTGCCCACCTTCTCTGTGCTTCTCTGACCCAGGCTCCCAGGGCAGGTTCACTGCCCTCCTTCCACTTCTGGAAAGCAAGGCGTGGGGTAGGGTGAAGGAAGAGGGGCTTTGACTTTCTTGGGGGAGGAAATGGAATCTATCCCACATTCTCTGTGCTCCCAGCCCTGGGACAATTGAGGTACATCAGAACTGGTCCTGGCACAGGAGTCCTCAGTGAAGTGAGACTACAGGAAAAGTACAGGCACTGGGGTAGTGATTAGTTCTGACTCAGCAAAAGGGGCTGTGCACCCAGACATGGTGCCTTCCACAGCACAGGGTCAGGAAACTGGCTGGAGGAAGTGACCTAAGGCACAGGAAATAGTATGTATAAGGGCCAGGGATGGGGTGGGGTATAGAAGGTACGTAACAGTTGGGTATGGGTTTAGAACATAGAGGGGTGCGGATTGAAGGAAGGTAGAGTGCAGAGGCCAGAGTGTGGAGAATCTTGTTTGAGAAACTTGATAGGGCGGCACTGGGGAATTTTTAAGGATAGTGACATGATCTTACCCCCCACCCCAAGGTTTGGACCTCAGGGAAGAGGACTGGGCTGGAGGAGGTGGGCCTTAGCAGCTTAGCTGTAGCCATGGCCATGGGTAAATACACCCAGGAAGAGTGGCAGAGCAGAGTGTAGGAAGGGGCCAGCAGAAAACAGTAAGTATGAAAAAAAAAAACAGGTGAGTGTAGTGCCACAGGGCCCAGGGGAAGTTTTGAAGGGTGGCCAGTGTTAAATGCTTTATTGGACCCTGTGGCCAATCAGACAGTAGCCCTAGTTCTGGCTAAATCAGGCACCTTTGCCAGGAGGCCATGTCCTCAACCGCAAGAAGTGAATCAAGGTCAGTTTTGGCCTCCCCACCCCAAGGAACCCAGGGTATCACAGCAACGGAGGCCACTGGGGTTCAAAGAGGTCAAAACTGGCTGGAAGGGGCCTGAGCAGCCCCTAAAGCAGATCCTCCTTGCACTGGGCAGGCTCATTGCAGACCAACGTTTATGGAGAGTTTACTCTGTTCTTCCCATGGCATCAGTGTTCCTGTAACTAAAATTCTGGCACCTTTATCCCATTCATTTTGGCTTGAGCTTGAGAAAGTGGGTTTGATGCCTACTTTATTAGGTATGAGGATTCACAAAGTTTTCAGCTCCTCTGGATATGGAGACTGGCCTAGGGGAGGTATTTGGGGAGGTGATGTATAGTAACTTCCATTTATTTAAGAAACCCACATGGAGAGGACTCCTGGGAAAGAAGGTAGTGCTCAAGAGTATTGGCTGACGCCGACCCACTCCCCAGCACCATGCTCCTCTCAGAGCCAGGCAGCCTCACTGTGATGCAATACGCTCCGTTTTCCCCACCCTTGCTACAGCTGTTCCCATTTCTTCACACACGTTTCTTCAGCAGCTTGATGCCATCTCCGTCCACGCCCTGCGCCTCCCTGAGCGCACCCACCACCTCCAGGCCCGCGCAGGCCATCACCGTAGCCCGCACACATCTCCAGTCTGACCTGGTCCAGCAGCTATGGCCCCACTGAAACCCTGGGTGCTCGGTGGGGCCCGCAAACAAGCAAGGCTGCAAGCCCCTGTGAAGGTGTGGCTACCAAGTTTGCAGGACAGCATGAAAGTGAGACTGCTGCCAAGCCTGTGGCCGCGGCCCTGATGCCAGCTCTGGCACCAACCCTGGTCAGTACCAGCCTTACTGCGAGCCCCAGAACAACCTCAGTGATGGCTCTTTAAGACGACTCGACAACACACTGAGCCCAGAAGTACCCCTCAACACTCGAAATGGTTCCTGAGGATTCACGGCTAGCTGCAATGAAGAGAGTCACCCGCTGAGGTGTCCGAATACGCTCGTCCGAGGGGCTGGGGTGCGTGGAGCATTGGAGAAGGGAGGTCCCAGCCCGCAGATTGGACACTGGTCCACCTCTAGCCAACCAGGAACCGGCTCTCTCCTCCAAGGACCTCGTCTCGCCAGGTGCCAATCAGGAACTACATTTTCCAGGATGCACCTCGAGGTTTCCCGGCATCCCAGCGTCCAATGACTGCCAGGGCTGTATTGAGAGCGTGCAAGGATCTGGCAGGTGGCCCTCCAGTGGGAAAAGACTGGCTGGTTCCAAATAAGTGACCAGGATGCTTTCTCCCCAAGACACGTCCCTCCCCCAAATCCAATGTGGAATCCCTGGCAGCCATTAACTGGGAGTTGAAACAGGTGTAGCAGCTAAAATTGGGGACCACGTTTAGGGCAGGACACCTGGCTACTCAGACCACAGCTGAAGGTTGGACATTTATTCATAGCATACAGCCTATACAAGACATCTTTAGAGCAGGAGCTGTGGGCCCAAACGGACCCTTGGTACCTGTCAACAGCTCCACCTTCCAGACCCTGCCTGCTGCCTTCATAGCCCAGTTTGCTTGGGCAGGCAGCACCGCAAACTGTGGGTACAGGCTCAGTCCGAGTTAGATGAAGCTTTTACCTGGAATGATTGGAAGTTGGCCCATCAACTAGTCTGACCCTTCCCCTCCTGGGAAGTTCTGCCTCCACTGCAGTTAAGGCCACCAGGATGAAAGCAGGGTCAGGGCTGAGAACCACTGGAGCCTTGGGAAGCATGAGGTGGGGTTGAGAAGACTTGGGAGAGTAGATACTGTGAGGGGCCTGATTAGAATTGAAACTGAGGATCTTGGTCCAGCATTTCCAAAATAAAGACAAGGTGACTGCTGCAACCATAGAGCTCCCCAGAGGAAGAGGATGGTGCCCTCCAGCCACCCTGACGATATAAATAAGCACAAGAGCCAGACCAAAGAGCCCAGGAAACTCCACAGGAGGCAAAGCCCCCTGCCCAGGCCCAGAGGGCAAGGAGTGAAGAAAGCCTCCCTCAGCTCCAGGACCCCGGCTGAAAGCAGATAGCTGGAGACCTGGCCCACTCCTGGTCCTCGCTTGTGGGTATGTGAGCCTCCTCTTTCATAGGAGATCACAGCTTGGGGAATTTCCCCTTTAGGACTGGGATGGGCCTGTGGAGACAAGAGAAGGCTTGGAGTCAACTTCCAGGAAGCTCAGTTAGAGGCTCTGGACTCCTTAGGTGTCTCATAGCAGATCCTTCTTGCAGGACACGTGCCTCAGCTCTGACTGGGGAAAAGGTGGAACTGAACTTGGTTGATCCCACTCCCACTGACATGCACAGGGGATCCCAAGCCAACTAGATGGGGAGGGACTGGGCCCACAGGGTCCAAAACAAAGGGTAGGGCCACTGGATGTGGGGTGGGGAGGGACTGGGGGCACAGCTCCCAGGGTCCATGGGTATTCCAAAGTCCCAAGTTACGAGTTCAGCTGATGTAGACACGGTGGAAGTCATGGGCACCAAAGGCCGCGTTGCACTTGGGGCACTTCCTCTGGCGGGCCTCATAGCGACCCCGCACGCACTCAAAGCAGAAAACGTGGAAGCACTTGGTAAGAACTGCATCCTTCTTGCGGGTGTTACAGCAGGGGCAGGTCAACCGCGCCTGGGGCAGGCAAAGGTGTCAGCTTGGGAATAATCTTTACGGTGCCCAGACCCCAAGCTGACAGCAGGAGGTGGTCCTGGCTATGCCTTCCTAAAGCCAACTGTATCTAACTCTTCCCATAACCCTGGGAGGTGGAATGAACACTCTACACATCAGGAAACAGACTCAGAAGCTGGTCTCAAAGCTACAAAGTAGCAGTCTGGATTCAACCTGAGCAGTGATGGCCAGTGGTCATGTGTTGCCTCTCAAGGCCAATGACCCACACGTCTCAGCCTGGGCTCCTATGCCCTTGGGCTTCATCTCTTCCCCCTTTGGACTTTTGTAAAAAAAACTGCAATCCTGGCTTAAGCCAACTGTCTACCTCACCTGCACCTGCTGGAGTCACCGCTGGGCATGGCACAGCCACTACAAATACGCTGTCTCCACCCTCCACGGGGCCCACCCCTGGTGCTATCCACAGATCCTGCAGTTAAGTCCCTAGAGGTTCCACAAATCTCTGCTCCTATCCTGAAACCTGCCACCTGCCACCAGGTCTCTCCTCCAAATTCAAACAGGAATCCCCTCAAC